ATTAACACTAATGGTCTGTACTAGTTGCTGCAGTATAATGATAAACTCTGTCGTATCATATCTAAGATATTCAATTTTTTTTTAATGATCCTAAAATAACGCTTTGCAGCAATAATAATCCGGGTCAAGGCTATCAGTATTGTTAAAGATACTTAAATGGCTAGTAAAAATATTGGGTAACGAACCAGTGGTCATTAACAAATAAGAAAATAAAAATTTCTTAGCTTTCAGGAAGTGTTGCTAGTTCTAAACACAATAGCTACATGCAAAAGTATCTCCTCGAGTAATGAATAACAGTTGGATTGAAGTAACCTCTTGAAGCTGTTCCACAAACAAATTCCGATGAAGATCACTATCTATAGTTTCAGAGATGCCGTTGGCCATTTATTCACTGGAAAATGTGAGTCGGGAAAGGTCCTGTGCTGGCAAGTAATGTGACCCACGTTCTACCTATGGCAAACAGGCTAGAACATTGGGGGAGGATGCCTTTAGTTCATGTTCTGATGGAATCACTCGAGATTGTGCTGCATGGTTTTTGCTGTCCAATGTCTTTAGCTGCAGTGATTCATTATTCTTTCTGCCTTCTGGGTCCCAGATTCACTGGAAACGAGATTGAAATATATGTCTTTTAACAAAAAATTTAAATTGCTTTTCATAAAGTAGAGGAATGATTACTAAATCATTATAGGATTGAAGAAAAGATGTATTTGATTCTGCTAAAATTTCTCCTTCCTGCATCTTTCCCACACATCATCCTTTTCAATTGCCATGTCCTAATTGCTTCTCCTGTGCTTTCTACTTCATTTACGCTTCTGCTACATTTTCTTCCTGCTCCTCCTCCCCCTACTCTTTTACTTCCTCTCCCATCATCTCTTCCTGTCTGTGTTTACACTTCTCATGTTCCTCTTACTCCAATCTTTTCCTTTTTTCTTCCTCTCGATCAGTGCTGTGTTCTTCTCCACCTTTCCCCTTATCTAATCCGCTCTCATCCTATTCATCCATTTTCCTTCTCTAAATCCATGGAACTGCAAGCAAGGTAATTGATATATGACAATGATATTCATCAACAGTATAGCAAAAGAAATGACAACGGTAATCCATTGTATACATGAGGCACCTTTGATGTTAATGATGAGAAATGAAAGAAAGAAAGAAAAAGAAAGCCTTGAAATAGGAGATAAAGAAGGGCTTTCTCTCTGTGGTGGTCTCAGAGGAACCATATTTATGCGTTAAAAGAAAAACATAGTTTTGATTTGGGCGGGGGAAAAAGCAGCTCACATCTTTGTCCTGAAATGGAGGCTCCCACTGCTTTTTTTCTTGCTTTTCTCATGGGATTTGACTTTAAGTGATATTGGGTTGTAGCAGGAATCTGGTGAGAATCTGCCATGCATTCCTATCCCATCCTAAAGCTTAATTTTGAGAGCATGTTTTTTGCAGGCTTTAGGATGACCGGCTGGTTGTATGTTCAACCACGTTCTAACTGGTAATTCCAGAAAGATAAATATAAAAGATGCTTTGCCTAAATAAACTATTACACATGAAGACATGTGCACTGTGATGAAAGTGTTAAAAATCTTTGATATAAGATTATGTATCTAAAGTATTAATATCAACTATTCTTCAATAAATCATACTGTACATAACAGGTTTCCCCCACTTTTGTGTCCTAACAAACACAAATATTTGTAAGATCATTATCATTTAACTTTCTAGTCATAGCATTGATAATTTTTAAAGAAATAAATGATACCCTGTCCTCACCAAGACAAATACAGTGTATTTTCAAGTAACCAACACACTTAGAGTTATGCAGTGATGGATGAAGTTCTTTTAACGAACTATGTCATTGCAGGAACTCATCCAAAGGGAGCTGGAGGAGGCCCGAGCCCGTGCCACGCAGATGGAGAAGACCATGAGGTGGTGGTCAGACTGCACTGCCAACTGGAGAGAAAAGTGGAGCAAGGTGATTAGTAAATTCTAGTTAGATAGATAGATTAGTGTATGTGCGTGTGTCTGTACACACACACACACACACACACACACACACACACACACACACACACACACACACACACACACACACACACACACAGACGCACACACGCACACATGCACGCACGCACAGATCGGTAGTCATGTAATATGTATTTCCATTCTTTGCACACGCTAAATATTGCAGGCCATGTATGTTTCCATAGCCTAATGATTATCTTCAAATTAAATATCTGACATCCAGCCCAGAAGAACATTATGAAAATAATAAAAGAAAAAATGATAAGCACTTGTTTTTAGCACACTATTTTATTCTTATTATTTTTATCATTACATTGCAGGTAAGGAGTGAGCGCAACAAAGCACGGGAGGAGGTGAGGATCCTCCGTGGGCGTCTCGAGGTCTCCCAGAGAGAGACTGGGGTCCTTAGACGGGAGAAGAACGACCTGGAAGCCCAAATGGCCCTCATAACCCAGACACACATGATGAGGTCACGGAACAAGGATGACCTGGTGGAAAAGCCAACCGATCTGAGAGATCAGGTAGATACGGAGGATATTGTGAGTATATATGAATTCAGTGATAAATTTTTTCTTGGTTTTGCATTGTTTTATTCCAATTCCCTTCTTTTTCCTTAGTGCTTTTTTAAAGATTCTCTTGCATTAAGTATGACTATTTTCCTCCTTTTTTTTCTTCTTCTTCTTCTTCTTCTTTCTTTTTTCATGTCTTTTTTTTCCTTCATTTTCTGGTTGCCTTTCCGTAGTTGAAAAAATAGGGATGCATGTTACAAATATCAGCCCACTCTACCTAGCCACTCAGTGGACAGTAAAGTCTCTGAAAGTTTATTTTATTAAAAAATTATTATTCTATATTCATACCTAATTAAAGTAAATTGCCTTATAATGTCCATATCCTGTCCATACAAACAAAAACTCAATATTCGTTGCTTAAAGTCATGCAATATCTGTGTTCTAAAAGTTTTTTTAAAAATTTCATCTGTACTACCTTTCCTCTTTTTTCTTTCCTTCTTTTCCCTTTCTTAGTTCTACTGATAAGTCTCTAATCTTCCTATTTCTTTTTTCTCTTCATCTCAGCCATCTCTTATTCTCATTTTCTTTCTATTTACTACTCTTCTTTTTTAAATATTTAGTGTCCTTTAAGATTCCTATTTTTCTTATTGTTCTCCCCCTCACCCAGAACAACCACAAAGGAGACTCACCTGAGAGAGATGGCAGCACTCCCGCCCGTCCAATCACCCAGACTGAAGCAGAGAAGCTGTCCAGCGATGAACTCCAGTTCATCCGCGATGCCAAGAACACCAACTTCAGCCTCCTAGAGGAAATGTTTGGCTCTCGTGGAAGCCACCATGAAGAAAATGTAAATGTGGAGGCAGGCATTCCCCAGAGTGGTGTTGAGAATGTGTCTGTGTATGCCCACAAGGCCAGCGAGGCCTCACGCCTAAGTGAGAAGTGCCGTGCGGGACGAGAGGTCAAGGACCTCATTTGTGATGAGTACTTGAAAGACAGTGCAGTGAAGGAGATGCCAGAAAACTGCCACCACCCACAGCGGGAGAATGACGTGGAAGAGAAACTAATCCACAATCAGCAGCAGGAACAAGCATTCAGAGACAGCGCTATTTTGCCACCCACTGGGAGTGGCAACAGCAGTACACAGCCGTCCCCATCCCACAGAATATCAACCATGTCAGACCCCTTGCCAGACACATGTCACATCAATCCCAGAATATCTGCAGTGTCGGACCCCATGAGTGAAGTGTGTGGTGGTAGCGAGTGCAGTGAGGGAGGCTACGAGGAGCCTATCCGACCCAGCGATCCCTGTGCCAATGCCAACCCTGGTGCCAACAGGAGAGGCTGGAGGACAAACAATGGTGGAAGTGTGATGGAAAGCAGCACTGGAGGCTCAGTTATAGATGACACCGGCATCACTCCCGAGCAAGAAACCCTCGAGCAGCAGCTGAAGATGATGAAGCTGCGGCTGGAAGAAGCCACGAAGACCATTCAGGCAGAGAGGGAGTAAGTACTGTATAAAAATCTGGGGAAATGGGAAGACTGTTGTTTTATTTTTTATATTAATTAACCCATCCACAGCAGGCTAGAAGTTAGTCTGTAATCCTCATAGATGGGCATGTTTTTGACAGATCAAAATCTTAGTTTAATAATTACAAAATGCAGCATATGATATAATCTGGTTGACTGCCATGCACAGCATGTCATATATTGAAAATTCCTGCACATATATATCTTGTGTAAAGCATCACAATGAAATTGTAATCTATTTTTCATCCTTACATAACATGAGGATGACCAACTTTCTTAATTGCAAAGTTAATGAAATTATTTTCAGATACGAAAGTTGTTGGTTATGTAATGGAAAGAACAAATATATTGGCTGGAGCATAATTGATCCATTCAGTTGTATATTTTCACAAAGTCTTCTCAACAGACACATGCTTTTAGTTATTTTCTTTCTCATCCAAACACTTAAATATGCCTCCAAAACAGAAAAACACAACACTAAAGAAACAGCTGCAGAGGCTTGATAGATATGGTATGTTGTTTTTCGATGATATTTGTGGTTTCTTTTTTACAAACAGCATCCTTCATTATTAGTTGCAGAAACGTCAACCGTGTCTTAGCTCAAATACATTATATATTCTGAACATAGGAGAGGTTTGAATTCCCTTATTAACACTCGGTAGGTTGGAAAGGGGAGATCACACCCCTGGTAAGATATGTGAAGAAATTATTGTATAAGATGTAAGAAGTGTAATTTTGCTTTTGTCATTTACTAAAAATATGGCATAGCATGGTCTCCGTAGATTCCACATTTTTTCAAGAACTTAGAAGTGAATGATTTGAAAATATAGATGATTAAGTTGTATGTAATATCAATGAGTTTTTAAGATGTTACACATTATCTTGTAATCTAGATATGATTTTTAGCTGGTCTTTATGACGTTTTCTTCTTCTTTTCTCCTCTTTTTTCTT